TGTCCATCCCACAGATATTTAATTTACACCTACTATGAATCAGCGATTCTGCGGGTCGTAGGAATGAGGAAACTGAAGCATAGAGCAGCTAAGGCACTTCTCACAGTGGTGCCCATGGAGCTGGCATTGTCTGATTCTAAGATCAGGGCTCTCACCTTTCACCTTGGCTGCCTATTTGCTAAGTTTCCTTAAAGGTAAAAATGGGATCTAGGTTGGGAGGGCTGTTGGAATAGGGGTCCAGGAGCCCCTTTTGCCAAGGAGACCACATGGCTTGGGGGAGAGACAAACCCTTCAGAAGCCTCTGTGAGAAGGATCTCTGGTGGCCGTCATGAAAGGGTTATCCCCACACATTCGATATTTGCAAAAATGTGGGTTCTTTCAGATTCCAAAACTCATTTCCATGACAAAACTCTTGGGAAGAGAAGATGAAGGTCTGGCTTTTGCAGAACAATCTTCCAGCTGTAATGAGTACTGAAGATGACGATGGGAAAAGGAATTATAATTAGAATATGAAATGGGGAAAATTAATCTATTCCAGTCAGTGGTAAGAGGATGTTCTCCTGGCATTTCACAGAAATTCTTAGGCCCTTGTTTCCCCTGCATCTTACCGCCCCCCCCCCCGATTTTAAAGCATACAGAAGGTTGTGTGGTGTGAAAAAATATTTTTGGCCAAGGGACTGATAAATTGTGAGATATGCGTGGAATTTAAGCTCCTGTGTAGGTCTGGACGTGCTCCTGCCATACATGTTTGTGGGCTCATTTAGGTGAGTTCTGTTTATGTAGCTGCAGAGGAGTGGTCAACCCTTCCTTTCCCTGTGCGTATGCTGTGGGCATTGTGAACCAGTCCCATAAAGGGTCTGTGACATGTGCATACTCAGGCTTGTGCTGTGGATGCCTTTGTATTGGCTTGTGTTACCCATAGGTGTGGTGTGTGTGTGTGACTAAGTGCTGTCATGGTCCCCCACTGGTTTGTGGTGTGTATGTAGTCACCATGCTTGGGCACATTGCATTTGTCATATACATTTGTGTCCACATACACACTCAGCATTCGCTGTGTGGTGGGTACAGATGTGGGCATTTGTGATCTTCGCTGTGCACAAGGAGGAGGAGGAGGGGGCCCTGCTTTGATTTGTGACTTCTCCCCTTGGCTTACAAGTTCTTTCCCCCAGAAAGCAACCTCCCCAAAAGGGCTGAGGAGGTAAGCTCCAGGCCTTAGGACCCTGGGGGCCAAGCCAGGGGAAGCCTGGGACCCTTAGGGTCACCCTCTCTCCCTCCTTCCCCTGGCAAGGGCTCTGTTATGGTGAACAGAGAACAGACCCCTCCTCCCCACCACCACCACCTCGGGGTCATGGCTGCTCAGTAGCCAGGTCCCAAACCCAGTGTGCTCTCAGGACACCGTGTAAGACACCTGGGAGTAACCAATCAGAGGTTGACTCAGGCCTAGCCTTGGGAACCTCTGCCAACTTCTCAGGTCCTCCTCGAAAGCAAGAAGCAAGCTTTACTCCATTACATGGCAGCTTTTCTTGGTTGAATAAATGAGTGAATGAATGAGCCCACTAGAGGCAGTCTCTGGTGACCTCATGTGGTCACACTGGCAGACCCCCTTGTGTCCTCCAGCATACACACACCAAAATTCAGAATTTTCTTTTCTCATATCCCCAGAGCCATCCCCCCGCTGCCCACCGCAGATAATGCCTCCCTCCCTGAACCGCTAACGCATACTTACCAAACACCTATTATGTGCTAGCCCCAGGCTAAGGGTTGGTTCTATAGTGGGGTGCACCAAAGCCTTGATCCCCACTCCTAAGGGGCTTCTGGCCTAGTGGGAGAGACCAAACCAAAGAAGCAGGCAGCCCACTCTGAAGCCCAGCCTGCCTGTAAGTGTGCAATTTTGGGCAGCTGCTAATCCTTTCAATCTGTTTCCTTGGTTTTAAACAGGGAAAATAATAGCTGCTTTGCTGGGTTGCTTTGAGGCTGAAATGAGATCTTTTATGGCAAGCATTTTGCTCAGTGCCAGGTATATTCATTCATTCCCCAGATATTTGCTGAGTGCCTGCTGTGTGCATTGGAGAGAGCAGACAGGGGTCCTTGCTTTTGCAGTGGTTCTGGTCTAGCCAGCAGTTGATCGACGGGCTGTAACAAGGGGTTTGGGGGACATCTTTCCATCTGCTTCTTTGATACATGTTCCTATATTTTTAACCTATACCATACTGTTTGATTACTATTGCCTTATAAAATGTTTCAGAGACCTGACTAACATAAGTCCCCCTCCATTCCTAGTCATTCTTTCTTATAAAACATATAAATTATGTGTGGCTTTTAAAAAGGTTTTACTTTTATCCAAGTAATAAATGGCCACGGTGACACATCAAATAATACCCAGGAGTTTTTGTTGAAAGCTCCCCACCCTGTCCCATTCCTAGTCTCATTTCTGATGCCAGACTGTTCCAGGTGCTGGGGGGGTTGGAAATGACCAGGACACAGTTCTGGCCTCCATGTTGCTCCCACTCTGGGGCAGAAGACAGATGTGAAGATAATCTGTGTTGTAAGAGGGGCAGCCAGAGAAGGTGAGAACATGGCAGCCTCTTGGAGGAGGTGGTTTCTGAGCAGGGCCTTGAAGCATGATGAGCTCCAGGCACAGTGTGGTGGATGGACCCCTGCTTTGGGGGCCAGTGCCCAGACTCTAGGCATGGTGCCACCTTTTCTTTTGTTAATACAGCAGTCACTGAAGGCCTCTGCCCATCCCTGTGCTGGCAAGGTATTTGGGTATAGCCATCAATCCTACTGCCTTGATGGGAAGACTGGCCTAGTAAAAGACAATGTGAATGGTGTCATGCTTGCTTCATTCATTCATTCATTTATTCACTCAGCCAACAAGCAATTATTGATTATCTGCTTTCTGCCAGGCACTATTCTAGGTGTTTGGGAGGCAGAGAGACTGAGATCCCTGACCTCCAGGAGCCTCCGTTTTGACAGGGGAAATCCACTCTAAGCAGTGAACGTGGTAAAATAAGCAAAGGATTTAGAATGCTAGGAGGTAGAAGGGCCTATGGAACAAAGAACAAGGTAGAGCAAGGCAAGGGAATCGGGAAGGGTGGTGGGGGTGGACCCGCAGAAGGGGTGGGCTGGCATCCGAGCCTCTCTGTGTGAAGAGGTTCTGGATGAACAGACATCTTGTGCATGATCATGGGAGAGTGGATTTTTACAACCTCCGTGAGGGTGTTTGGTGATGCCTATCAAAATTACAAATGCACGCCCGTCTGGACCCAGCGATTATACAAACTAATCCTACAGATAAACTCACACCCAGGTGAAATGATGGACGTACAAAAATGTTCACGAGAGCAGTGCTGGAATAGGGAAAAGACTAGAAACAACTCAATTGCCCATGAACTCAACTAGTTTAAATATATCTGTTACATCCACACTGTGGAATACCAGGTACCGGAAGACAGAATTATGTTCTGATATAAAATACTTCCCGAGATGTGTTGCTAGGAGAAAAATGAGGTGCAAAACAGGGTGTATAGTATGTTGTCATTTATGTGAAAGAGACGACTATAAAATGTATATATGTGGACCGTCTCTGAAAGGATATAAAGGAAGCCGGTAGACTCAGTGGTTGCCTCTGGAGAGAAGCAATGGATGGCGGGGAGGTGGGGTGGGAAGGAGAATTTTCACTCTGTTGCTTTTTGTGCTTTGGAAATTTTGAATCATGTGAAGATAAACTAATAAAAAAAATTAAGTTTTCAATTAAAATGGCCGGCTGCCACTGGGGCTTCACCCAGATCCCTTTACTAGCCTCTACAGCCAGCTCCCATCTGCTAGGACCACTGGCTGCAGATGGCACACAGTTGGCACAGTTCTCTGGGGAACTGTCCCTGGCCGGATGGGGGCCACCCTGCTCAGAAGGTTATGCCTCCCCTTGTCCCCTAAGGGCAGCCTGCAGCCAGTGACTGACTGAACTCCATGGGGCAATTCATGCCCCATGGCTCCTCATGGGACCAGGCTGCAGCGGGTCTCCAGCTGAGATCACATCTTCGCTTAGCTACTCCTGCTGCCCTGTTCTGCTTCCCTTCCTCCGTTACAGATTTTCCTAAAGAGCGCTGTTTAAAAATCACATGCATTTGAAAATCCTGGTCTCACACTCTGCATTTAGGGAACCTGATCGAAAACACCTGCCTCAAGGGAAGAAAACTTACTGGAAATGAGCTGAGTGCTCTACGTGTTTTGGTACAATACCCCATGGAGATGGGACCACCGTCATTATCCTCATTCAACTGATGAGGAACCTCAGAAATTCAGACACCAGCTCAAGAATACACATCATGGAAAAAAGCCAGCGACCCCAAAGCCCACATTTCTCCCATAACACCTGCTTCCTACTGCAGGGAGATCTTCCTGTATCCAGACTGACAGCTTATCAGAACACAGGATTGTGTGTCTGTGCATGGTTTCTACCACAGCCCTCCCTGCCTGTGGCCAGAGGTGGCCCAAGGGGCAAATGTGAGGGGGCCAAGCTTCTTAGGATGGTAAGACCTGGAGGGCATGTCTGGGGCAGGTGTCCCGATCCCAGGGCTCTGAAGATCTCAGCCTCCCTCCATCATGTGGAATTCTAGCTCTAGCTGATAGTCTGATGGCCTTTTGGCCAGGAGAGATCTTTGCATGCTTCCAGGGTTGGGGAGCCCGGTATCTGACAAGGACCATCTGCCACATCTATGGACAAGGCATAAAGGGCAGGAAGGTTTTCCTTTCCTTGCCCTGTGATTAATGGTGCTAATCCAAGCCCACAGGGGCCACAGGACAGGGGCTGCTCTGTTCACCCTAGAGAGAATCCTGCTGAAGTTGGATTTGGGCATCTTGGGCTCGAGCTTTGCTTCTCCGGGCCCCACAGACTTTTCCGCTCAGTGCGTTCAGTCTCCTGACCTCCTCGGGCATCTCCTGGGGCCTTCTTGAAAACACCTTACTCAGACCCGCTTCTCTCTCTTTCTCTGTTCTAGTTTGATGGTGACAGTGCCTACGTGGGGATGAGTGACGGGAACCCAGAGCTGCTATCGACCAGCCAGGTGGGTGCTCCGTCCTCCCTGTGGGGGGTCCAGCCTGGAGCTGGCTGGAGCTGAGCTGCTTCAAGGTGGTGCTGGGATGGTGCAGAGCAGTGGGCAGGGCCCACTACTATCCTCTCTCACAAGGATCAAGAATATCAAATAGTCCCTTGAAAGTGACAGTCCAACTGGGACCACAGTGTTTTCTGTAAAGCACCTACCTGGCTACAGTTGGCTGAAAATGGGCACCATTGAAAACTTGGTAAAACTGCAAATGTGTTGCCCACATTTCCCATGTGCAGAGGACAAATTTTCAGCAGCAGTGAGTAGAGGTGTCACAAGCTCCCTGGTACTCTCTGCCTCTTGCCATCACATAGCACCCATGGGATCTACACTGGCACAGAGGCATACATGCCCGTGCAAAGGCATGCAGAGTTCTCCTGCCCATCTAGAGTTGTCTAGTACCCCTGCAGAGGATTGTGAATGTGGCATACGGGGAGGAGAGCAGAGGCTTCCTGTGCGGTCCTCCCTGAGAAGAAGACTGGATCATCCCTGGGCAAGACTATCCCGGTCCCTAGCCCTCTGGGAGTCCCTGATGCCAGCTAGAATCTGAATTTCCACTGAGAGCCTGGTCTCCAAAAGTTAAGTTTTCTTTCAGCTGGGAGCATCCTCACTGCAGATTGGAATGCTGGGGAGGGTCCTCACTGCAGGCCGGGATGCTGGGGAGGGTCCTCGCTGCAGGCTGGGACGCTGGGGAGGGTCCTCACTGCAGACTGTGGCAACCTGGAGGACGGTTCCTTAAGGCAGGGGTGCCTGCAGGGTGGCAGTAGCTCAAGGTGCAGAGGAACTTGGGGAGCTGGAAGACAAGCCCGTCCCTGGAGCTGACCTCCATCCTCTGTCTGTGCAGTCATGATGGTTGTGGCAGTCCAGATTGGGTTGCTGGGCCCACATTTTCCAGCTCGGGAATCAGAACGCTATTAATTCACAAACACTTAAGTGCCCTTCTATGTGACAAATCCAGTGGTGGACATAGATGAATAAGACGTGGGCCTGTGGCCCGCTTAGGGCGCACTGCCAACGAGGGCAGATCCTGTACTCTCAGTGCAGTGCGCAGGCTCCGCTGCGGGGTGCTGCACCCCCCTCCCCTGCTGCTGCAGGGGTGCTCGTGCTGGGGCCCTCATGCCGCCCACGCCCCTTTGCTGGCCTGTGACCATGTGAGCATCACGATGCTGCTACAAAGCTACCTTTCTATGGCACTGACTCGTGCCAGCCCGAAAGGCACTCTGGTGGGCAAGACTCCAGGTCCTGGAAATGCTCATTTTGGAAGAGACCACTGAAGTCGTTAAACTGTCCTTAATCAGCTTGGACATGTGGTGTCTCACAAGACCAGAGCTTCCTCCCGAGCATCTCATCTGAGCTCTTTCAGTGTTTAAAGTGCATTTTGTTAACGTGCTGAGCCTGGCTCTCAGAACCGTGGCAGGTGGAGTCGGCGTGGCTCAAACCGTGATGGAGAGTGTGGCCACCATACTCCAGGGAGAAGGGAGGGTGGGGCTTGTGGGGCTCCGTGTCTGCCCACAGTCCTTTGCAGAGGAGATGCAGGGCAAATAAGCGTCCCCACAGGCTGTTGGCCGCAGCGCCCTCACCTGCCTACCCAGCACATCCCCACAGTTGTAAAGCCTTTTCCTCAGTGGTTATTTCAGCTGATCTTCACCAGTCTTGAGAATTAGTAGGTTGCCACTAATCCCGTTTTATAGATGAGAAAACTGAAGCTGGAGGGTGTTGAGTGGCTCATCCAGGCAGGGGAACAGCTGGGGCTCAGAGCTCCACACATTACTTTGCTCCGTTCCCACCTCAGACCTGCCCCCACTTCAGCCAAGTGTTCCTTTGTCAGAGAGCTGTTGGTGACCCTGAAATCCAAATTAGGTCCCCTCCCCTTGATTCTCTCTCGTGCCACCGTATCCTTTTAATTCATGGCATTTGTCACTGTTTGGGGTTGCCTGCTTATCTGTGTGAAGACTTGGTTAGCATGTGATTTCCACACTAGAGCAGGATCTGGTCCCTCATTCGCTATTGTGTCTCCCAGTGTGTTACAAAGCCTGGCATGTGAAAGGCACTCAGGAAAGACTTGCGTAATGGGTCATGTGGCCCCTTCTCTTCTCTGGACTTCATTTTCCTGGCAGGGAAATGGGGCAGTTGGATTCCCCAAGGGTCCCTTCAAGTCTCTTGTGCTGTCACTCAGAGAGTCTCCCTAACTTAGCACTTTATAAAGAAAACATCAGGATTCCCTGAGATTGACCAGGTGTGAGCCAACCTGGATGGGAACAGATTTAGCAATTACAATCTAGACTTCTTAACAAGGTACCAGTTGATTTTTGTTGCATAAGAAGCATGTCAGGGGGCTCCTGGGTGGATCAGTTGGTTGGGCGCTAGACTCTTGATTTGGGCTTGGGTCATGATCTCAGGGTCATGAGTCGAGCCCTGCATCAGGCTTTGCACCCAGCACGGAGTCTGCTTGAGATTCTCTCTCTCCCTCTCCCTCTGCCCCAATCATGCTCTCTCTGTCTTAAATAAATAAATAAATAAATAAATAAATAAATAAATAAATAAAATCAATCTTAAAAAAATAAAAAACCCAAGCAAGTCAAAACTTAGTGTCTTAAAACAACAAGTATTTACATGGTTCAAAACTCCACGGGTTGGCGGTTTGGTTGAGTTCAGCTGGGTGGCTCTTCTGGCCATAGCTAGGACCTCTGTAAGTGGCCACTGTAACCTGCCAGGTCAGCTGTGGCCTGGTTGGTATGGGGACTCGCTTCTCTCCAAACAGTCTCTTGTCCCCCAATAGGCTAGCCTGAGGTTGTTCACATGGTGGGAAAAGGGTTCCCAGGACAGCAACAGCAGAAGTTGCAAGACCTGTTGAGGTAGGCTTAGAACTGGCACATGAGTACTTCCAGCACATTCTGTCACTCAAAGCAAGTCAGAGAGCCAGTCTGGATTCAAGGAATGGGGAAGTAGACCCTGTTGTTGGGAGGAGCTGCAAAGTATTGTGGTCTTTTAACAAACCCACGGGAATGTGGGATGTTGTTCATGCTGATTTTTGTTGAAGAATAACAGACGTGTCTAGGACATGCAGCCCCTAGTGGCTTGGTGGGGCTCCAGGATCCCTACTTCTTGTTTTTTTTTTTTTCTACTTTTTTATCGTTATGTTAATCACCATATATTACATCATTAGTTTTTGATGTAGTGTTCCATGATTCATTGTTTGTGCATAACACCCAGTGCTCCATGCAGAACGTGCCCCCTTGAATACCCATCACCAGGCTAACCCATCCCCCCACCCCCCTCCCCTCTAGAACCCTCAGTTTGTTTTTCAGAGTCCATCGTCCCTCATGGTTCGTCTCCCCCTCTGACTTACTCCCCCTCATTCTTCCCCTCCTGCTATCTTCTTCTTTTTCTTTTTCGTAACATATGTTGCATTATTTGTTTCAGAAGTACAGATCTGTGATTCAACAGTCTTGCACAATTCACAGCGCTTACCATAGCACATACCCTACCCAATGTCTATCACCCAGCCACCCCATCCCTCCCACCCCCCACCACTCCAGCAACCCCCAGTTTGTTTCCTGAGATTAAGAATTCCTCATATCAGTGAGGTCATATGATACCTGTCTTTCTCTGATTGACTTATTTCACTCAGCATAACACCCTCCAGTTCCATCCACGTCGTTGCAAATGGCAAGATCTCATTCCTTTGGATGGCTGCATAATATTCCATTGTGTATATATACCACTTCTTCTTTATCCATTCATCTGCCGATGGACATCTTGGCTCTTTCCACAGTTTGGCTCTTGTGGACATTGCTGCTATAAACATTGGGGTGCACGTACCCCTTCGCAGGATCCCTGCTTCTTAATGTTTTCTTCCAGTCTTTTCCCTGAAGTGCTTGCCTGAACCCCCTTCCCCGCCCCACTCTACACACACATGCACATTAACGCCCTGTCATGATGTGCTGCCCCACCAACCACAGGGATTGTATTTTCCCAGTTCCTGGGGGGCTGACATAAACATCTGGGCAAAATGATGGTCTCCTTGCCAACAGAGGATTCAGAGTACAAACACTCTCTATATTTTTTTTTTTTAAGTAGGCTCCTTGCCTAGCGTGGAGCCCAATATAGGGCTTGAACTTATGACCCTGAGATCAAGACCTGAGCTGAAACCAAGAGTCAGACACTTAATTGAGCCACCCAGATGCCCGCAGAGTACAGTCTAAATGGCATAAAATGCATTTTATAAATACAGTTAAATATGAGATTCACCTATTGAACAAATGGGCACCTATTATGTGCAAAGCTCTCGATGTAAGTGGGAAGCCATTTCTGGAAGATGTTTGCTTCCAGAACATACCATTTCATCGTATTAAAAACCTGCTCTTGGGCGCCTCGGTGGCTCAGATGGTTAAGCGACTGCCTTGGGCTCAGGTCATGATCCTGGAGTCCCGGGATCGAGTCCCGCCTCGGGCTCCCTGCTCAGCGGGAGTCTGCTTCTCCCTCTGACCCACTTCCCTCTCGTGCTCTCTATCTCTCATTCTTTCCCTCTCAAATAAATAAATAAAATCTTTAAAAAAAAAAAAACAACCTGATCTTTAATGTAATCTTCTCCTGAAACACCATCTTCTTTATCTAGAAACTTCAGTGGAGACACAGGTTCCTATGGGATATATACCAGCCAACTGTGCCCCCTGTTAAAAACTTTCAAACCAGCTCTTATGGGCTTGCAGTTTCTTTTGCAAATGCATGCTTTATTGTTTGGTTTTTACAAGTTTCCATAAGATTCCTGCCTGGCTGCCTTAGCTTTCACACAGAATCCCCTTTCCCCCTCCCTGGACCTTGTGTTTCTTTTGCACCAGACTTGTGTGGGTGGTCCAAAACTGAGATGCAGTTCTCAGACATGGCTTCTGGCCCATCAGCAGCTTCTGGGAGGGGAGGGCCTTGTAGAGATAAGCTCTTCCCCCTGTTGAGAACAGACC